ATGGCTCCCAACATTTTTGTTCTTGGAGAGAGGTGGATATTCCCCTTCCTCAATTCTGAGATCTGCCCTGAGCCTGTGTGACAGTTCTAACCATCCTGCCTCATCCCAATGCTCTATCCACTCTTCTCACCTTTGCTCTTCCTCCTACTTATACCATCACTTCTCTTGCAACCTGCTTCCTACATTTGCTTCTCTTTTCCAACCATCTTTACTCTTTTGCAGATTCCTCTAGCAAACCTGCTCTCTTTGTGTTGATAGCAATTGCTCCAAAGGTAGAACTTTCTTTTCCTCCTCCTCATACACCCTTTCCCAGCCCATACTTCAAAATATCAGCTCCTGTATGATTCATTCACCATATAACATTTATTTTCTCATACTTGATTCCTCATTTCCTTCTCCACCTCCTTCAATTGGCAAACAAAAATTTCTGGTTGGCATTAAGCAGGATGATTTTAGGTGCTAAACTCTGAATTCATGCCAAGCAAGCAGTGTTAAAGTCTCAGCACCACCATTTTGTAGAAAATTTCAGCAGCAACATCAAGAAATAGATAGGATTTAGATATGAAATCTTGCTGATGTACAATTGCCTGCACAGCAACTGCATTAGCTTGGATGGACTCTTTGGCTTAATTCACAAGCATGCTGCATTGTAGGAGTGTGATGGCAGGGCAGCTTCTGTTATCATTACTGCTGTTCTGTTTAACCTGCCTCCCACTTCTCCATAGCTTTACTCTCTATCCAACACAGAAGATGAAAATGTCTGTCTCCCCACAGTCACGTTATCTGCTGGTGTTGCAACATGGTAAATCCAGGAAGCAGCAAAAGCAGCAATGTTGTAGTAGTGGGATTTTGGGTATATTAAGTTGCTGTTTTAGGAGGATGTCTGTCCCAGAGTATGTGGTCTAGACTGTAGACTGTGGTTGCTGTCTCTGCAGGAAAGACAGACCTGGCTGATGTAGTCTGTATATCTGTTATAGTCTTGTGATAGTGGAGTTCAGCACAAGCCCAGTATTTGCTCACACGCTGATGGAAACTTTTGTGCAGTTCCTGCTGCTCTAATATGGATATATTGGGTAGCTCACTGAATGCTAGCTTAGGTTTGCTACCTGCATCATTTCTCTCCTCTCATTATTATGACGGCAGGAGCATCTATTGCAAGTGAAGGTGGATTGTGCTTTCTAGGCTCACTGTCAATGTATAGCTTTGTTGTGCCTTTCCCTCTCATTAACACTCAGGTTACTTGACCTTCCTTTAGTACTTTGAACCTGGTTTTTGGCTACCAACCTTACGACCTGCAAGGAAGGAGTATGGTTCCTTCCAGAATGTGTTTGACAGTGGGAAGTGTGTGTGCAGATTTCCTTGGAGCAGTGTGAGTACTTGGATACATCTGCTAAATCTGAGATCAGTCTGCTGCTTTTACTAATGCAGGCCTGTTCAATTCCACTGTTGCTGCCCTTGTGACCCTTCTGCTCTGGTACTATTTCTCTCTCATCCCACATTTGAGCAGAACTCAGAGCTTCTCTGTTAGCAGGGTTCTTATTCTTTCAGGGCATGTGAAGGATGCTGAGGTCTGTTTAGAATCACAAACACTGTGAAGAAAAAGGAATAAACATAAGAAGTACTGTCATTTCTTCCCACCAGAAATCCAGTAGATGAACAGAATAAACTCAAATCAGCCATTCTTCTGGGTCAAAAGGGAATTAAACATGTTCAAGGCCAAGGGAGCCTCATTTCTGAGACAATTCTGACATTGGCTCATTGTCTCTTACCACAGTTTAGGAGATGGGACTACATCAGATGAAATTGTATTAATTTTCACTGTAGATGTCAATGCCTGACCCCTTCTGTGAGAGCATCCAGGGTCCTTTTTTAGACTTGAAAAATATACATGTGTAGTTAACTGAACTGCCTAATTACAGCCCCTTCTTAAAGAAAAACAAATCATTTTCCCTGTATCCCAGTCAAACTAGTTGGGTACTCAAATTCAGACTGGGACCATTTCCAAGTGATCCAGTTTGAAATACAGAAACTGCTGGGGTTGTGAGGCACTGGCTTCACTGACAGGAAAGGCAGTCTTAATGAGATCTGCCAAGCATCACGGTCTCTGGGATAGGGTACCAGATTGGGATTCAGGAAACCTGGGTTGTTATCACAGCTCTGCTGTTGTTGCTTTGCCTTTGTGTGCTTCAGATTCCCTTCCAGCCATCTGTTTGTCTTGGTTATTCAGAGCAGCGTACTCAACCTTCCTGTACAAAAGCTTCGCCTGTGCAATTTGGTGATGTTCCACCTCTTGCTGTGTCTGACTCCTTCCTTTCTTCCCCTAACCCAGCACATGGGGTAATTATCACTCTTTCCTCAGCTCCCACTTGGAGCCAACTTCCCTCCTTCCTCCCTTCTGCCCACTGTCACTGCCTGTGCTCCTTGTCACTGTGGGAAGTGGCACTGGACCAGCAATCGCTGCTGGGCCTGTCTGACTGTCTGGAGACACTCAGATGCAATCTCAGCCCCAGTTCCTGGCCATGACAAGAAGACATGAAGCCTTTGGGTCTTGCGTTGCATCCCCAGAAGTGTGTCAGCTTGTGTCCTGATTGCCAGTGCTGTCCTTTCCTGTTTAATTGGAACCACCAATTTGAACAGGAGAATAAAAGTAGTTCTGCTCAGTGTCCCTTTCACAGCACATGGAAAAGCTTCCTAAAAGAAATGGCATCAGAGCAGATACATTTAACCGAGGCTCTTGCACTGGGCTGCTTGGTCTCAGCATACTTGAAGATGTGGATGGGACTGTTGATTCCTTCGGATGTCCATCCTTAACATCCCTGGTAGTTTGGCCCTCGAAAATACTTGTGTTTTCCTGGCCTGAAGATGATGTCCATAAATATACACAGAATGGAGAGATGGTTTTGATCAGAATCCCCATATTGTAGCATGGCTGTAAGAGCAAACTAATATAACACATTCTTTGACTGTTTTAATCTCTTCTACTATCATTACTTCAGGTTGCATATTAGGAAAAATTGGTTGGCAACCCTGCATGTGACAGGGGGTTGGAACTCAATGATCCTTGAGGTCCCTTCCAACCCAAGCCATTCTGTTATTCTGTCATTCAGTTCTGATCGCAATTAGTCAAGTGTATTTCTTTAACATAAATACATTGAGTTAAACCCTTCTCCAGCATCTACTCCAACCATTTCTCCAGAACTGTTGAATCTGCCAAGAAGCTCCCACAGCTCATGGACTCTAGCTATAGTGTGTAAATGAATCAGAGGCTGTTGGAGTCAGGAATGGGGCCAAAGGGACTGTAGAGATAGTTATTATTTAGAGGAAATTGAGTGGAATGGGTGATGGGAAATAGCTGAAGAAAAATAGAAACTCCTCAGGATGTTCACACTGCCTTTCACCTTGCAGCTGAGATCCCAAATTCTTGGTTCAGTAAATCTGCTTTTTCGCTTCTCTCAAAAAAGAACTGAAAACCTGTGCATATATTTTCCCTTCTAATGCAAAGCTGTGCTCTCCTATTCATGCTAATGAGAGAGGGGCTGAAAGTCGGTACTTTTGGGTTCCCTTCCAGTGCCTGCACTGCATTTGTTGTTATGCTTTGTGGGAAAAAAAAACAAATGGAAAATGTTGAACCTTGGCTACTGAGGAAACGAAGCATCTCACTGAACACAGGCTCTGAAGAGCCCTTTTATGAGAAACAGAGAACCTCTCACTGTATTGTAACATGCCAAAATGTGAGTCTAAATATCTGGGTTTAGCTTTCCTCCATCTAGTTTTGACAAGTTGACCTATGAATCAGAATTCAGGCATATATGATTTATTTCCACTCTCCTTGTCCTCATTTGTTGCCACCAGCACATTCCTTCTTTTTGTCTGCAATAGCAGATTATGGTATGAAGGAGACTGGGCTGTTTGGATAGGTTAATTGTGTTAACTGAACAGGCAAAAATAGAGTAGGACTTCAGTATTGGTTGAGTAACTGTGACTTAAAATGTGAAACACAGAAAATACAGTAATGGATTGCTAGAGTCATCAGACTGCCTGTTTGAATTAGGATGCAGAGAAAGCTGCAGAATATTTTGCACATTCCCATGAGTTATTTGCAGGTAATATAGGTCTTTGGCGAGAGCTCAGTCCCCTTTGTGATGCTCCTGGTGATTCACCCAGCCCTCGAGAGCGATGTTGATGTGCTCTGCTTTGCCCATCTGTAGAAGTCTGTTATTTATATTCATTCCCCAGTGTGAAATCTTTGAGATCTACAAAACAATTTATACGGGGCCTATTCCTTCTCAAGCTAGCAGAAAGACCCTTAAAAAGACTTCAGATCCTTGGAAGCACAGCATAGGACTACTGTGGGGATTAACTCATCGATTTCATAATAAAATGCTAGGTCTCATGATGCATTCTCTGTGAACAACAGGTAGATACTGCTCACAGTGTATTAGATCATAATAGTTCTGCAAATGTATTAGTTATCCATGTTTTAGAGCTTAATGGAAGCAGCTTATAATTTAAAGTCTGTGAAGAAAAGGAATAAATGTTATTAATGATAAATATTTCCATCTGCAGTATTAACATACAGAGTGATGCAGAATGTTTTAAGAAACATCTAGGGCGTTTTGAGATTATGGGGACAGAGGTGTCACAGTATTTTTGTAATTCTGTTACTACTGTTTCCTCATTTAAGTTTGAATTTATTTAGCATTTATACCACCATCCATATGAGTACAGTGTGTCTTCCTTTACAGTGCCCTGTTGACTGTGCAAGGGAAAAAGAATTTGTCACTTTTCTTGTTGGACTGATAATCTTTTCATGGATCCTCAGCTAGGCAAAATGAGGACTGTAATCATTAATGAGCAGAATCCAGAGAATTGAGGCTGTGGTTCAAGGGTTTCTGGATCACAGTCACAGTGTGAAGTACTTCAGTTATTAACGCATGGTTTGAAAGCAAGATTTTTCATTGGTCTTGATTGAATATAGTGTCTATCTTGTGTCCATGAAGGTTACAGCAGAATTAGATGCCTGGAATGAGGATCTGCTGAGACAAATGAATGATTTCAATACCGAGGACCTTACTCTGGCTGAGCAACGTTTGCAGCGTCACACTGAGAGGAAGTTGGCCATGAACAACATGACTTTTGAAGTCATCCAGCAAGGGCAAGATTTACACCAATACATCATGGAGGTCCAGGCTTCAGGTGAGTGGAACAATTTGTTCTCTGTTTTGTATGAGAAGGAACAAAATGAAAGGGAAAGAAACACCACCTACAACCAAAACACATTGAAAAATATGCCACTATGTACAAAGCACATCAACTTTTAACATAATTCAGTCTATTGTATAGCTTTTCTCCATAACCAGAACTGCTCCATGATTTTGGAAAATTCTTTGAGTCAGGATCACACATCGTTGTTCCTTTGAAATGGAAGTGCAGTATGGAAGTAAAACTGAAATTTAAGTTTCATTCAGAAAGTTTTATGCAACTACAGGCCAGTGGAGTTTGTAATCTATTCCAGTATAGATGGCAAGGAAGAGAAAAAGGTGGAGCGAAAGAGGTGGAAGAAAGAGAAGCTAGTTAACCAGAGGCCCTATGGAAGAGAATTCAGATATGAGAGCCTTGAAATTTATCACGAAATTGAATTCTTGTTTCCAGCCAGCTCTAATTGGAATTATTTTGTGTGTAAAAAGGGAACATGATAAACCATACTGGAATTTTCCTTTTCAATGTGCACTTGGAAGTTAAAGATAGCCACTTGGATGCAAAAAGCTTTTGGCATGTGCACTTAAGTGACAGACTTGATTCATGTTGATAGGGAGTCTGTCTGTTTCATCTACTCTTCTCAGCAGTAGGATCCTATTTCTAAGGCATCCTATGAATCAGGATTTTTGTATCCTTGCATTTTGTGTTTGGAAAAAGAGTATAATAATTCAGATTAATCACTGCATAAAGTCCAGAAGTGAAAGTTATTTGCGAAGTGTTTAAACTTTCTTAAATGTCTGGAAAAAGTGCAAAGCAAGAGCAATTCCATTCTGTCTCTCCTCACATGCACTTCCAAAATAAAAAAGATTTTTATGGATTTATTCTTTGGCAACCACTGTACTCCTAGACGCTCACCTTTAAAAAAAAAGAAAAAGAAAAAGAAAAAATTGGCAGTATTCAACCTGATTGGCAAGCTGTACTCAGCAGAGGCTTTAGGTTTGCTGCAGGCGTGTGTTTTGAACTAGACAAGCATTGTGCAAACCATGTGTGTGAGATGATATGAGGTCTGCCCACACTGTGTCTGGTCCTGCGCCTCAGCTCTTTTGCTTTCAAGGGTAGCAAATTGGTCCTAATACATCAGTTACTATTCATTTTTGGTGCATCCTGGAAGCATCCTAATGTGAGCAGTAATTCATGGGAGGAAAAGAACATCATCCAGAACAGTGCAGACTCAGGAGAATCAGGAGTGCTCTTCAGGGGGAAAAAAAAAAAAAAAAGTAGTTCTGTGTTTATGAAGAAGTTAGAAACAATTTTTTTTGGATTGCAGACAAAAGATCAGCAACTAAATGAAGTGACTTTTAGAATGTTTTTATAAGATTATCTGAGATCTCTTTCTTTAAAGCCTACCCAATAAAAATCCATTGCTCCCAAAGGCAAGGAAGCGGAAGCCTCATAGGGATGCAGAGTAACTGTAGTTAATCAAAGGTAATGGTCAGATCTGCCATGCACAGAATGCTAAATGCTGGGAGAACGGCAAAATAAGGGAGAGAGATTGCTCTTGGGAGCCTACTGTTTCTTATTTTAATAAAGGACAGCTATAGTCCATAAAAAATTCATTTAATTTTACTCCCTCTTGCTGAGTCCTATATCACAGTCGTTCAGTGCGTGAGAGATGATTGTTCTTACTGCCAGAACTGCAAATTTGCAGGGGTTCTGGGAAATCAGTATTGCTGCTTCCCATTGTACAGTGTCACCGCTACCATCAAAATTCAACTACGACCATAGAAGATAAAGGCAGAAAGAAGGTTTTTTTCAGGGACATCCCACCTAACCATCTACTCTTAACTGCCTTAGTTTTCTTCCCTTCCCCATAACTCTCTTTCAGCTTTATTCTTTTTAATCTATCACGATGGAACCTGATTTAATTTTGATCATTCTGGAGTTTGGCTTGGAGGTCTTTAAGCCAGCAAGTCTGTCAGATAGAATTACCTCCAGGTTTTTCCATGCATAATGCCTTTTTCACTTGGAAATCTTGTGCAGGTAGAAAAAGATTATAGACATTTGCCCATATTTTTTGCATGTGTGATGCAGACTTGGAGCAGCGATTCTTACCAGACCGTGGAGTGTCTGGAAGTCCATGTGAATACTGTGCACTGGATGCAGCATATCCAACTGTCCTACAACGGACCAGATCAGACTCTGTGCAGATATTCAGATATTTGTGTACACACTGCATATCTACAAATCCACTATTTCCAAAATGCCGTACAGCACAGAGTTATGTCCTGTGATTCCTTCCACTGGTGCAGCATGTGTGAGTGATCCTGCTTTGGATTAGCCTGTTTTCATCATAAGAATAATTACTCTGTAAATGAATGTTTGGTTTTGTTAGGGACCGTGTAAGATCTGGGAGTAGTCACATCTTCTGCAATTCCGCAGTACTTTCAAATTGTGTTCATATCTCACTACTATCGGTGTCATTTGGGAAAGAGGTTTGCTTTAAGAGAATGCTGTAACAGTATTCTCAAGAAAACTGACTTTTAGTGACCCAGCACTTTCTATTTCAGTGGAACTATCTGCTGTTTTTCCAGGCTGATTGCAGCTTTAGTACTGATATCAAAGGATACCCTGATCAGAGGGGATCAGTGGGCGAAAATGTGTTCAAAAATTCTCAAAAAAGAATAATGATTGTTGAGTGTCTAGTTTGATACATTTAAAGTGTTCTGATGTTTCCAAAAGAGGCACTCTGGGCATTTCTGAGAGTTTAGGACCGCGATTCAGCAGGGATTTAACACCTTGACTCAAGCTGCACTGACGACACATACACATCAGTGGTACATCCCTCAGTTATTCATGTTATAGGTACTAAAAGTAGTTACACTCTTGGACTTGATGATCCATATGAGTCCCTTCCAACTCGGGATATTCTTTAATTGTTGACTGATTGCACACAATTAATTCGTTACTGAAGTACATTGCATTGTTAGCGTTGTTGTCACCATAAGCACCACTGTCAGGTGTCACTAAAGATTTACAGATCTGGCATTTTATGTCTAAGGCAACTTCTCTAAGCCAAGCCTGAAACATGATGAGAAGCTGATGTTGGGGAAATTTACAAAGTCCCTGCGTACTACGTGGAAAATTCAAAGCCTTGTTGTGTCCTGGATGTCAAACTTAAAATCATTCGTGTCTTTTCCTAGCATTGCATTGCTTCGAAGTGAAATGGAAGTCTGTTTCATTTTGCTTGTGATGTCACTTATAACACAGAGAATAGAATACAGCAAGAAGAGGATACTGCACTGTTGTGTTCCAGGCTGGTAACAGTTCAGCCTACAAGCAGGTTCAGAGCAGCTCCAAAAGAGCTTTGTACTGGTCAAAAAGCAATACCTCTTCCTTACGTTGAATAGTATCTGACAGTGCAAATAGCTCATCTGTAACTAACGCACGTCTTGCAGGATGTTGGCCAGTGTGGGTACTCTTTGTAATTATTTTTTAAAAATAGTTTCAATTCGTTATCCTTCACTGATATCTGCTGTATGGGCCAAGGCATTAGAAAAAAAGAATGGCAACCAAGTTCAGTTTATCAAAAAGTCAGCCATGCTTTCCTGTCTATCAAAACTTAATGTGAAGATTTTATGTATGAAATTATTCTGAAAGCAAAGGTTTCCAATTTGCAAACCAATCTTTGAGAAGAATAAGTGCTCTCGCTGCGTTCACTGGCATTGCAGAATAAATCTGTGTGACACATGACAAGCACGAAAGGGCAGACCATTCATCATGGGGAGTGCGGGCTGCCCTTGGATAGCATCCCAGGCAGCTTGCTGGTTGCTGCTGATGAGTTAGCACAATCAAAACCAGACCAGCTGAGTCTGCATGAAGGAAAACGGCGCATTTAATATCAGAAAGGTGTGGTGAAGTCAAGCATACAGGAAGCCAGTCATGTCCTGAGGATACAGAACCATATGCAAGCTAATTGTAGTAACAATGCTTGGTGTCTGGCGTTTGAAAGAAACTTCACTAAGAATGGAAGCGTATATTAGATTTCCAGATCTTAAATGGGAAGCCAGAGGCCATTCCACTTTATTTGGTAATGAAGAAACTGTTCGGTTTTGGCTGGCAAAGGGAAGAAGCCAATTGCTTGCATTCCTTTATACTTTTTTTTTTCTTTTTTCCTTTTTTTCCTTCCTGTTAAAACCAGAAACCAGAAAAAAAGAGGATAGGGTCAATCATAAGGTCATATTTATTTTGTTTATTGTCCTCTGTGGATACCACTGTGAGAGAGAATGAAAGTTACAAGCCTCTGAGGAAGAGAAAGGGGGAAGAAAAGGCATCTTTCTAAATCAGTTTTAAAAACAATACACAGCCTTCTGTACAGCAGCTTCTAATTAGCACAATTCTTGTATAATGTCCTATTATTCCATGAAATCAAATGGCTTTGGAGAAAAGTGTACTGTTTTCTCAGCATTACTGCAATCTGATTATTTTCATATTAGGTCGCTGATCCTCCCTGTATTGAGGCCAATGGCAAAATTCCAGTTGACCTCAATAAGGGAAGAGTCAGGTCTTTATTAGTTTGTAATTACAGGGATTACAGTAAGACATGATGGCATCATAACTGCTCCAGGCCAAGCTTTCACAATTACATTGCATCTGTAAAGTACCCAACAATGCTATCGTGATAAAGAAGGAAGATGTGATGCTCTGCATTGTATTTCATGTAACTGACACACACAAGGCTCACCAGGAAATTCAGGAGATGGGAAGAGACCTCAGGAGGTCTCTGTTTCCACCTCCTAATCAAATGAGATTCAGCAATGAAATTCAGACCAGGTTATTCAAGTCTTCGCCCTTTTCATGCAAAATACAAGGCATAGGAATTCTGGTACTAAACCATTTTTTTCTGTCTGCTACATGAGGAATGGATTGATGTCATTTTGTGAAGTAATTCTGAATGAACGAGTCGTTTTTAACTAAACTGTTGTTAATGATCGTGTAAAGTGCCTAGATGGAAAAGATGTTTCCTCTGTGGAGTTCCACACACTCATGGCATTGTATCTGGCAACTAGAATTTACTTTATTTCACTTTTCTGTTTTCTTCCTCTTCTTTTTCCTCTTTTCAATTTGTATTTGTAAAACATAAGTCATTGGTTTAATGTAACAAAGGGAGATTATTTCTGCCTTTTAAAATTAACTTTGATGTTTGGGCAAGGCTATGGTCGGTAGTGTTCTACTATTCAGATGCTGATGAGTGAGGTGAGCAATCATCAGCAGAGAACCACTACTGTGTAGGAAAATATAGTGGTGCAGAATAGGAAACTATACAAAAGCCAAAAACTCCCTCCGAAAGAGCTCATTGAGGAAAGCGTTAGTGAGACACTTGCAAATCAGTGTTTCAGGGGGGAAATAATTTTGAAGTTCATACAATGACTAGAATTGCAAATAAGTGCAATGATCTCTCTCTGCATGTTGTTCTGTTGTAGGCATCGAGCTGATCTGTGAAAAGGACATTGACCTTGCAACACAGGTTCAAGAACTGCTGGAATTCCTTCATGAGAAACAACATGAACTGGAGCTTAATGCTGACCAAACTCACAAGAGGTTAGAGCAGTGCCTACAGCTCCGGCACCTACAGGCTGAAGTCAAGCAGGTGAGAGTTTTTAACTGTGCTTCGGGTTCTTAAATAGGTTTTCAGCCATTACAATACCTAGTAAACCAGTATCTGCTAAGTCACACAGCTTTAGGTGGATGATCTTAATCCCTCTTTCCTTAGCAGTACTTGATTTGCTCACAAATTACAGCATGATCCTTTACAAATATAGAAGGGCTCTGTTCCACATCATGGCTTTGTGAGCAGTTATGGAAATTCTGTACGGAGCAGACCCCTTAGCTTCTCAACTGGAGTATGCCTCGAACTGTGTTCTGGAAATAAATGATTTGAGCTGGGATCCAGGCTGAAGTTTTGTGGAAAATTGCCCCAGAGCAGAGGATAACTAAGCAGTGACATCTGAGCAAAGAATTACAGTAGTTTCACCTTTTTGTTTATTGCTACACATATTGGCCTGAAGGAATCTTCAACATTATCTGGGTGAGATAAAAGCTTCAATCTGTGGTCTCTGTGCTAGGATTTGCTTAACATCTTAGTTCTGTGACATTCCCTTTCTTCCAGATTTCATTTTAGCTATGGTGGTCATGTTCTGCCTCCTGTGTTTTCCCTTGGTATTTTATTTGGGTGCCTCATATTTCAGTATTACACTACACTTCCTGCTCCAGAGGTGACTCTATGCTTCAGTGTAGTGCTTATGTCTGGATTGTAATATGATCTTGGTATCATTAGAAAGAAGAGAAAGATTTTTCCAGACACATGATGTATTCGGGTTTCCATTTTACCAGTAGAAATGGGGGGGGGGGAGGAAATAATGAATATACTGAGTGCTCCCTAACTGCGATCACAGTTATTCCTTCTTCAGAAATGAATTTTCGAGTGACATTTTATCTGGATTGCTTTTATCATTGCTGGCAAAACATCCTTCACTCTTACACAGCTTCCAAGCTAGAAGCTGGCAGCACCAACATCAGTGCACACGTTTGCTTTCAGAGTTCACTTTGATTTAATATTTTGCAACCATAAATGGAACTTGCACAGAACTCTTCTGAATTTTGATTTTGAATATGTGGCTGATTTGTATTTCTCTCCTCATAAGGCTCTGCAGCTCTGCAGAGTGCAGTTTTCTTCTATAAAAGAGATCCTCTCTATGATATTCATAATCACTGCATTAATGTCAGAATATCACTTATTTCCAAGGGTTCCCAAAGTTTCTTGGACACTACTTCAGTAGCGAAGCTTAGAGTTCTGTGCAGTAGATTTATGACTAAGTAGAGCCATTTTAACTGAAGACAGAAGGTAGAGAGGAGCAATACGTGTAGCTGACCCCACTGACCAGGATGACAGGCAGGTCGGTCAGCCCTGCAGTGCTCACAGAGCCGTGCAGTGCAGTGCAGCGCTCTGCGGGTACCTCATGTTACTTGCCTCACTATCAAGAGACTTCTGGGCTTTCCTATTCTGCAAACCAAAATCTAACCAAAGGAAATGGTTTTAGGATTGAAATATCTAATGCTGTGAGAGAACAAACAGCTGCTTTGAATTAGTATTTTCTTAACATAGCTTGGGACCATCAGAACTTTTATTACTGTGCGACCTTTCAGCAGGCCAATTGTGAAGAATCATTGTATTTGTTCAGCTGAGTAATAAGGACTCCTTTGTTTATTAACCTATAAATTACCACAGCTACAGTTTCCCTTGGAAGGAGCAAAGGTAAAATATATCTGTGCTCTATCTATTTGGTTTCCTGGAGATGAGTCATATTCCCAACCATTTAGTGAAATTGGGAAATATATTGATTTTGGCTTGCAATTCATCTCCACTCTGGTCCAGATTTCCTTCACCTTCATTTTATTGCATATGAGATGATGGGTGATCTCATTACCAAATTGCGCTCACTCTTGCAAGTCATCTGAGATTTGGTTGCCACCAGACACCTACTGTAGCTGTGCTTACATTCTGCTGACATAGGAAAATTGGTCAAGGCTGCTAAGCGTACATGTGTTTGCATTTTGATATAATGACTCGTGGACATACAAAGTCTTTTAACCATCTCTATCTATTTAAGTTTCATTTAGGAGGGTTTCTGCTTTAAATCATACGCACCCAAGATTTGAATGCCTGGACAATGAATTGAAGTCTGGGGCTGTAAAAGAAGAACGATTCAGAGTGAGATGTTCTGTGAACTGCTTTAGCATGGAAGTAGCATAGACCAGTGATTCACAAACCCTTTGTTATTCAGAAAAAATCCTTCCCAAGACTGATTTCCACTCACTTGGATCCCACTCATTTCTGACAGAAACTACAGAGCTTGGATCGCTCACTGAGAAGTGATAATACAACAGAGTTGTGGAGATCAGATTCAAGAACAAGCTGTCTTATGCTGTGCTTGCAGCTGTTTGGCTTCCAAAACCCCTCACTTTTCATCTTTGTGGTGTTTTTTTTTATTTATTATTAGTGTTGAACATCACATAATACAATCCCAGATACTGTCACAGTATCACACTACACTTATTTTCCAGGTTGTTCTTTACAAGTGTATTTGGAAATCTTTATTCACCTTTTATCCACCCACCGTTATTCTTTTGGCATTAGATTTGCTTCCAGGTGGGTGTGCCCATAGGATGACAGCAGTCAGTCATTTGAGGGATGCTGAAAAACTGGCTTTTTCCCTATTTAATACATCACAAAGTTCTGGGAAGCTGGAGTAGAGTTTTGAACATGGCTGAAATTTTCAGCCGGTTGTGAAAATGTCAGCCCAAATGGAAGCTGATGCCCAGGGGGCCCTGTTTGTATTATTTTGGGGGAAAAATAAAGTCAATTAATATACTGCTTTTTTAGTGTGCAGACTCAGTATTTTCTACAGTTTAAGTGGCCCAGGCTACCGTATATCACAGTCTATCAAATATGAAATGATGCATTGCTTTATGACATACTCACATCAAGTTTTTCCCAGATATACCCATCTTTTTTAACTTCAGCTTTTGGTGCCATGAAGTAGGCAATAATATAGCCTTCTTGTCAGATGGATTATACAAACTGCCAGCCAAGAAAGACTGCCATATGATAACCCGTTTTCTTTTCCTCTAAATCTTTGTTGCATTTCCCACAGGAACAATAATACCTACTGATGAAAGAGAGAAAGCTGACAAATGAAATCTTCCACGCTGTTGTAGTGAGCAGATGTAATTTCCTGCAAATCAGGGTCAGCTACACGTGTTGATGGTTCCTCTTTATTCCTCCTAGGGAAAACTCATTTTCCTGCCCCACAGGGAACTGAATGGTTATAAGTAGGGTGATGCATGATGTAGGCATAAAAAATAAAACAACAGAAAATCCCTATTTCTTACAGACGATTTAATGGATCAGTTGGTGTAAATGATGGCACAAAAGGGAAATTACTATGTAGAATATTGCGACAAAGTTGGTTTTGGAGCTTTGTAAATCACAATCTAAAGTTAGGGCAGTGTATGGGCAGTCAGGATTTCTTGTGCATCTGTGAATTGAATTCAACAACTTGCAGGCTTCATTGGAATAATTTGACTCCCACACAGGTAGAAAATACGCTTTGAGCCAACACAGCAAAGAACTTGCATGTGCACTCTGGGTAATAATTTTTCAAAAGCATGTCTTAAAATAGCAGAAAATGTTGCTGCTTAAATAAATGAATAAATACAAGCTTGATAGATTAATTACATACGTTTGGAATTTGATTCTTTAGTCAAAACAGCAGGCATTTCATGTCTACAGGTAATCTGAATGTCTCTGAAGTAAAGCCCTTTGACTAAATATAAAATGCAAGACATGGAGTTTCTTCCTAGCTCTGAATGCAGGTGGAAACTCCCACTGCATCTTAAGTGTGTGTTAGATGAAACCAACTGCAATTTCACCTTACTCCCTGAGCTCTGACTTTTGCATGAAAGAAATACAAACAAGTGGAGCAGAAGAGAGCTGCAGCATGACCCCGCAAAGTCCATAACTCTGGGTAGAAACTAGAAATTATCATAGAGTCATACCCTGGAAGGGACCTTAAAGATCTTTATGTTTAATTTCAAACCTCCTTGATTATGCTTTTTGGTTTTGCTATGAAGTGTTTGCATAGAGGAGTAGTCATTTTTTATGATCGCATCTTGGAAATGAGAGTTCTTTGCCATCTGACTATCCTCATGTAAATACTTTCAGAGTTTTCATTCCTTATTAATAGCTTCTGCAGTAGGAACTTTCCCTCCAACAATTTCTGTCACTAAGTCCTTATCCTGGGATTTATTTCTTCTCACTGATTCAGCCTAAGACAATGTTGGGCAAAATAGCTTTTTATGAGTTGGTCTGAGACACTGTTTGATGAGTGACAACAGAAATTTTTGCACTGAAGCACCCCTTCCATAAGCATATCCTTTCTTTGCAGGTGCTTGGCTGGATCCGGAATGGTGAATCAATGCTGAATGCAAGCCTTGTCAATGCAAGCTCCCTCTCTGAGGCTGAGCAGCTCCAGCGAGAGCATGAGCAATTTCAGCTGGCCATAGAGGTAACATGAGCAAATTAATTTGGTTTCTTCTTCCCAGGTGAACAGCATTCAAAGGGTTATCTCTTTGGCATCAGTCATGGCTTGCTTGAGGGAGGGAAGGGGTAAAAACTTCAGAAAATTGACTTTGCATTAAAATCATAATGCAACAAGAGAATTTTATTTATCATCTGGAGCTATTTTTTCTGCTGTCAGATACCAGCCTCTCCATTCCTGAAAATGATGCTCACACATCTTCTAATAATTTCTTTGTTAAAAAGTAATAACATTTAAATTCACTAAGAGATCTGAAGGCAGAAGTTCATGGAGTCATTCTCTTTCCATGTCCAAGATTTACTGATCATTTCAGAGCTTTCATTTATGAGTATCTTTGATACTGGGTAGTACTCTCATTGATAGATGTTTGATTCAACTGTTCTGTTTTTGATGTTCCTTCAAACTCCCCCATCCTCAGCTTAAGCATGAAGTAGGAAGGGCTGAACTGAGCTGAACTGAGCTCATGGCCCTGCTTGCCCTGGAGTAGCACATCTTCAGTTCAAGCTGGCCCTCAAAAACCAATTCTCTCACTCATGGTGTAGGGACATGGCAGGAGAAACAGTGCCTTCTCTGAGCTGCTTTACTTTGGATAAGAATGTAGTGGAAAATTACTACACCCCCTCAGCAAGGGACTGCAGTGAATCACAGAATCATAGAATCATTAAGGTTGGAAAAGAAAAGACCTCTAAGATCATCTAGTCCAACAGTCCACCCGTCATCACCATGCCCATAGTGCTCACACTGTGGGTCAGCACTTCATAGACCTTTGCCATTATGAACACACTTTACATTTGTAAGCTGTGCTCACTCTAGTTATATGTGAGAGGACACATTGCTTCCTCCTGTTCCTGCTTAGCAGGGTGTATATGCTTCCCCATCTATCTGTTAATTGCTACAAAGTAAAGAATTGGTTGGCAAATCCCTTTCTGTGGTTTGAAAAGCTAAATCAAAACTAAACCAAACTTTTAGCTACTAAAATAATATTCCCATAGTGGAGACTTTAAGAGATGACCAAAAAATAGAGACTCCTTATGTCTACTGGTAAACTTCAGAGCAGTCAATATACGTTATAACATAGCTAGTAAATACAGAGTTTAGATATTACCAAATGACCAACTTTGATCCAGCTCCACTCACAGTCAGGACGGAGCAGCTGTGGCAGCTTCTAAAGGGAAAAGGAAGGGGTTTCCTATCAATGCTGTATGAGCTGGTGGGTACCACACCATGCTGACTGCATCCCAGCAGCTACTGCTAGGTAGCAGTGGGGGACAAGACACCCTCCAGCTGTGTTTTCACAGCTTGCTGCTGTTGGGGAAGGGCTTGGGTCTGCTAGGAAATATAGATCACAGAGGGAGAAGTAGGCTACAGCACTGTAAGGGGAAAATAAGTTTTCAGAGGGAGAAAACACTAGATTAAACATTTAAACTGTTCAAAGCTCAATATGGGGAAGTGATCAGCAAAGCACATGGGGCAGACAGTCCTCTAAAGGCATGCTAGATGTGGAATTGATTTTCAGTTAAAATCCTTTAAAGTCTATTTAAAATAAGTATTACAACTCTAACATCAGTACAGCAGCTGGATATTAAATTTAACCAGTTGTTCTTGAACATCTTCCTAAATATTTCTGCCAAGAATTAATCCTTTTTTTTTGCTAATAGCTTTCCTTACATTGCATAATTCACCAGTGTATCACCAGATGATTTCAAGCGTCTTTCAAGGTTCAAGGATTAGATCGTAAATGTATCACATGAGAATTTGTCAGCAGCAGTTACCACTGAGATGCAGAACAGAGGAGACTTTGGGAGATTTTAGTGCTTCTGTTCAGAAGATTAAAATCAAATACTGGACTAAACCTGAACACAGTTACTTGGGGGCTAGGAAAGGCTGGAGGCTATTTTCCCCTCGTCAACCTATGAAGGAAGCTGTAACCATTTGGTTAACTGAGAGATGCTAATGCAGGCTGGGGAATGGGACAGATCACTCAGTCCTGCCTGTAAGCGCTGCCGCTCATGCCAGCAGACTGCCTGGCAAAAAAAACCAACTCACTGGGGTTTGCTTTTGCGCCTGCAGCCTGTGTGTGATGCAGTCAGCACTGAGCACAGGTGGGGTGGGAGTTCAGCACAGTCACTGCCTGCATTGGGGCTGTCCAAAGGGGTCCTCCAGGATTCCCATCCTCACCCAAGCTGTTGTACTAGGGGTAGTGGCTGGCCAGTGCAGCTAGCCTATCTCAGCCAGTGCTTGCTTTAATAATGTTGCAAATGTACATGAATAACTGAAGCTAAAATGCTTTGCAGAAATGAACTGTTAACTGGAGATAACAAGAAATGTTTCGCTCTCTCACATCTCCATGCTTACACCTCACTTCACCTTTCTACCATAAATCTGGCACATCTGTACAACCTCTCTCTCCTCTCATCGTGCACAGTCCCTCTTTCATGCCACTTCCTTACAGAAGACACACCAGAGTGCCCTGCAGGTCCAGCAGAAAGCCGAAGTGCTGCTGCAGGCTGGGCATTATGATGCTGATGCCATCAGAGAATGCGCTGAAAAGGTGGCCCTGCACTGGCAGCAGCTGATGCTGAAGATGGAGGACAGGCTCAAGCTGGTCAATGCCTCAGTGGCCTTCTACAAAACCTCTGAGCAGGTGAGAAGTACTGTGTAATTGTTCACAGTCTAGGACCTTTCTGTCAACTGATCAGGCAAGTGTAGTCCTCAGGTACCCCCAGCCAACAAACACCAATGTGAGTGCACTCCCACGTAGCAGTGGTGGTGGATGTGGGTTTTCTACTCTGACCTCAAGTGCAGAGGGTCTTCTGCTGGCTGTGGATCTCACAGCATTAGCAAAATGAATTGAAGTGACATTTACTCCAGGAACACAGCAGTGCTCATCCAAACAGGGAAACTGAAGGCTGAACTGGTCAAAATCAAGTTTCAAAAAGACAAATTGAAGTATATACAATAATTTTCATCTTGAAGTTTTCATTGAAGCAGTATGGAAGCCATATATTTTTTTACTTTATTTTTCTTTTTCTTTTTTTTTTTTCTAAATTGTCCACTTTCCAAAGGGAAGGATTTCTGAAATCCTACCATTTCATTTCAAGTCCTCATGGCATCAGAGTTCATTTCAAGGAATGTAAATCTTCATTTCCTTGAGAACTGCTTGCCATCAATCATTTATTTGTGAGCAGCAAGAGCCAATATTTTCATTAGAAGTAAGATACCACCATGCCAAAAAAGATGCCAAAATATGAAGTGATTTCTCTTAAATCCACCTGCAGCACAGTTAATTACAGAAGTAACCACTGTATGCGGACATAACGTTACTTCATTCCAGGCATCCATGAACTGTAAAACACATTCCAATTGGCTGCTGGTACAATAGGATTATTTATGCATTGCATAAACCGATGCAACTTTACTGTAGGCAGTAGTGAGAATTAGTGTCATAGCATGGATACTCAACTAGCCTTGGTGATTGTAATTTACTGCAGCCAGGCAGTCTGTGTTAGCATGGACACTGCAGGAACCTGTGCTTTTATGAAAAGAAGCAGTGGCTTTCATTAAAATTTCTGTTGTTATCAGCACACGGTTAGTTCCTCAATTAGACAGCCAGATTTGGAAAGTTTTTTTAACACAGCTAAAGATGGCATTGAGGACCGAGATAATCCTTAACATCAATGCAGGAAAAAATCCTTGGGCCACTTTTTGGTGTCGTTTGTTTAATGCATTTTTAAGAGTGCTTAAAATTAATTCATTCCTTATAATGAATGTCTTTCCCTGTGGAGGGTTTCAAATAGATTTACAGTCCCTAATGCACTCAGGATTGAAAAGAATTACAGCTGTTGGAGGATTGTGAGAAATGAAAACCATTTAGGGATTCATTAGTTCTTTAGACAGTCAAATGTGCTGGCCAGAATATGCAGAGCCAGTGATTTATCAGTTTGGTCTCTCTTCCTATTTCCAAGTCATAGACAAGCATACTACAGTGCCCACCAGTTCATTGATGAGTTGTGTCTGTTCAGCAAATGGTTGGGGCAAAGGTCATTCTGTCTCGAGTGCTCATAAACTTGCTACTTTCTCTCAGGCTCCATGATCTGTGACCCCTCGCAGTCTGATCCCTGACAGGATGGCAGTAATTCATTGGATCCTGACTTCTCTGAGTACCTAGAAATGCAGCTGGAAGCACGGCCAGAGAGTCTGTCCCAGCCAGCCAAACTTCTTCATGTCTGTCCTCCCCAAGAGCCCTAAGCTCTTGTTATAACTGGTGCAGCCCTCTTGATTAGATAGTCCCATTTCTCTCTAACTTCATTAACCAAAGTGGTCATGGAGTACCAAAGTTCTCAAGAGCCAAGAAATTAAATGGAAACACACTTTTCTATGCCAAAATAACGTGGGGCATTTGCTCTCTAGTATGGGTTTGGGGGTGAGGACTGGTTTGCATCCAAGCAATAAGTGATTTCAGATTGTCACATGCCAGCAGGCATCAGTTCACCTCAGCTCCCCAATCTTAAGATGGATTTTGATGTGTTCATCAGTGGAGTTACATGAAAATGGCCTCTGATAGTGGAGAGCATTGGGTGAGCCTAGAGTATCTTCCAAACTATGCTCTTAAGCATGTGGGATCCTCTGAATTATAACTTATGTTCATATAAAGGTTGCAGGAGTGAGCAAGAAAAGGGTGAACATGGTTAACTGGACCCCCAGCAATAACTGAGTGGATCTTGACTAACCCAGAAGAGAAGAGAGAAATTCCTAATGTGCAGAAAAACTTTTGCTGTTTTTCCTGTGTCTGCATGAGAGTTGCCCTCAGGATCTGCATTGACTTGTCCAAGCCTGCTGCACACGGCTTTCAGACTGCACTTGTTTATTTGCCTTGTTCCCATTATTGCACCAAGATAGAAGACCCTCTTGTAAGCCCTGTACGGTGGAACACCTGCATCCACCTGGGTTAAGACATTTAATGTCTATTGTTATCCATAAGTCTTTACAAAAGCTGTATAGGGAGCAGCTAACATGCAGCTGAACAGAATTAGTTCCAGCTTCAGACTTGTTTCAGGAAAGCATTCAAGCACGTGTTTTTCTTTAAGTGGGTGCTAAGTTCCATGACTTGGTGGGATTTAAACAGACCTAAAGCACCCTTCAGGAATGGGGATTGTGTTCTGAATGACCCACTGGGGCCAGACTGACCTCTGCCTTGGTTCAACCTTTTGAGCTTCCCTCCTTTCTCCTTTAGAAAAGAAGGATTTATCACCCCTAAGCCAGATGAATTACATCCTGAACAGTAGAGATCGCTGTGGGCAAGAATAACTCATAGATCATTCTGTCCAGGGCCTGCTTCATAGCCTGTTACCCTCCATGCCATGGCCAATAGTCTAAAATATTTCGGTCTGAAATTTTTTTGGCTCATAGACTTTTACTGACTGTGTTTCTTCTTGTTATAACTGTGGATAACTGAGTTGTTGTGCTCTGGGTATGTTTCAGGTGTGCAGTGTATTAGAGAGCCTGGAGCAAGAATACAGACGTGATGAAGACTGGTGTGGAGGTCGAGATAAACTTGGACCAGCAGCTGAGATAGACCACGTCATCCCTCTGATCAGCAAGCATCTGGAGCAGAAGGAGGCTTTTCTCAAGGTCTCAGCTTAGTTCAACAATAAATCAGAAAATCTCCCCATTAGGTAGTCAATTTAGAACACTGTTGGTGAGTTTGAGAGGAAGCTCTGAGGCATAATTCCAGTTCATTTACTGTGTGTCTGTCTGAGCCCTAGTCTAATTCCACACTGTTAAATTAGTGATAAGCATTATCATCAATGTTTATCTCTGAGAGATGTCATCAGGACAAATTAGTGATATTTGCATTGCATTTGGAGGATGCTATTTATTATGTTGATTCAAAGCATTTATTCTCAACATTGCATTATAAATGACAGGATTTTGGTGCTGGCGTATATAAATCATCCAGAATTTCAAATTCTATCCTCCAAGCCAATAAGTGCAGAACTGCTAACACCTGAAGACACTGTTCCTGTGTAGGGCAGCACTGGGCTGAAAACCAAGCTTTCCTCCTGCCTTCCAAGTGCTGCCTTGTAAGAACAGCAGAGCCAACACTGATAAGTCATCTGACAGGCAGCCTCACACCTTCCACTAAAACTGATACCCAATATGAAACTACTCTGGCTTAAGAAACAGTTCCTCTAGACTGCACTTTTGGAAGCTCTTTTTGAGAGAGGGGTTAGCTCTGGTTAGACTGAAAATGTATGGGAGGTACTTGCTCTTTAAAACCAGGTGCTTGATTATTGTCATTAATTTGCCTTAAGATATAAAATCAACTGCTGAATCCAAAATGACTCATGTATTTTAATACATTCATGAGGCTGTAAGTTTCTTAGCTGAGTTTGTTGACTCTTAGCTGAAGCTCCTCCATTTGAAAGAGACATACATCTCCTTGCAAAATAGGCAGAGAGCTGAGTCTCTTTTGCTTTCTTTGCTTGTCTTTACTAACCCTTCTTGGTGGGGTTGTTTTCCTTAGGCCTGCACACTGGCTCGAAGGAACGCCGAGGTATTCCTCAAGTACATCCACAGGAACAATGTCAGCATGCCTGGAGTCGCAAGCCATACCCGGGGGCCTGAGCAGCAAGTGAAAGGTTGGTGCACTGATGTATGACAACATTAGAGGTCTTCTTTGGTTCTCCCTCTGCTAAGCTCCAAGTTGGTCCAGAATAAAGGAAATACCCATCTACCTGTGGGTAGTTTCCTTTGGTCAAAAGAGCACTGTTTACAATCAAACTATACATCTGAGATGTTTGACGTGTTTCTAATTCTCTGCTGAATTAAACATTTGTTAATCTGTGCCTAGCAATGCTGTAAGGTACTGATAAGAGTGAGCAAAGCAAATCCACAGAACGAAAGCATTTTATTATTATTGTTGGCTGGCTTACAAGCTGCAGGAAGAGACAGGTTAATAGCAGTGCAGCCATTATAATATGTGGGAGGGATGGGAACTGCAGTTACATACAGAAGATGAAAACGGTGCTACTGAAAATATTATTTTTCTTCCTTTCTATTAATATCAACTTTGCAATATTATTCTGACTTTTGTCCATTTTTCCCCTACTACTGTGTCAAATATTTTTTGTAGTTGCTGTGAACTTCTATTCCCTGAAGCTGAAAATCGTGGGAAAATTATTTGAACGCTTTTTCAGCGAGTCCCTATGTATGTGCTTGATATAAGCTTCAGTATTCCTCACTGAGCTTGTTTGGAACTATTCGCATATTTAGAAATCAGTGCTTATGTTAGTCTTGTAAGCCAGATTTCTCTCTTGCTTAGTGAGCCTATCCACAGAAAATCTTTGAAGTAGACACTTTAGTTCAGAATAAAAGCACTGTTTAATAGAACACTTACGATGCGTCTAGAGCTAAGTCATCAATATAGAACAAAAATAGCTTTATTTAGCCTGAACTATTTATACAGAGAACTGATCAGTATACTCAGAAAGGGCTTCAGGGAAGAGAGATTATTTACAAGGTGCTGTAAATGCTCATAGTAACTCACTCTAAGGGATCGATGAGCCGGACTCATTGTTTTAATACAAAATAGTGTGCCTGCTGCACAGACTGTGTGAGCCTATGCCCCCTCTAGTGGATGCCACACAAGCATCTCCTCCTATACCAGATAACCCTGCAACACCACCTCTTTAATATTGCTTTTTAAAGCAATTTCTTTGAATCAGTACTTGTTTTAATATATGCAATCTCAGGGGCTCTGTGCTTGAGAGTGTGGTCCAGGCAGAGTGAGTAAATTCATGTTTTTTATGGCTTATTTCTGTATGCATTCACGGAATCACTAACCATGCAGTTCCGCTGCCTTACAGCCATCCTGAGTGAGTTGCTGCAGAGGGAAAACCGGGTCCTTCACTTCTGGACCCTGAAGAAGCGGAGGTTAGATCAGTGCCAGCAGTACGTTGTCTTTGAGCGCAGTGCCAAGCAGGTAAAAAACCCGCTGCCTTTCTTTGCTGGCAGTGTGTAAATATGCCCTGTGTCCATGTCGTGCCTCTGTGGGGTTCCTGTTGCAGTCTCCAGTTGTATTTAAAAGCTGTTCCTTTTTAATACGTGGAAAATATACATTCTTAAAACAATTGAAGAAAACTCCAAAGCTCAGCAACAAAACTCCGTATTTTTGCCAGGCCATATTCATTTCAGGATGTATTCATCTGTTTGAAAATAAATAAGAGAACAAATATATTTTATTGAGCTCTAATTGAATGAGAACATTGCCTTCTCTCTCTTCAGATTTTTCTTTCTGAAGATAGAATTCCCTACACTCCTTTTTCTTCTAGAAAACACCACCTTTTGTGTCCTTTCCCATCTGCTTTAATTATTGTATTCTTTTTATATCTTCCTAGAAAGCATTTTGATACACACAAAATTATGGCTGTTTTGATATCCATTATTTGGCAGATTATTTTGTTGGAGGATTAGTTCTTGAAATATAAATACTATTTAGTTTTTTTTCTTTTTCCTTCTGATATTCTTAGGCCCTGGACTGGATCCAAGAGACAGGCGAATATTACCTCTCTACTCACAACTCCACAGGGGAATCAGCAGAAGAAACTCAGGAACTCCTGAAGGAATATGGGGAATTCAGAGTACCTGCGAAGGTAAGGAATGACATTAATCTAATTGGTCGATGACTGTGCCCCTCTCAATGCCTTAAATCTTTGTGATAATATTCTCTTGATTCTGTATTTTCATCCTGAAACTCCTAGCCCAAAGACGAATGTCTTTTGTCAACTGTGACCTTTCATTTTTAGCAAGGCACAAGTACAAAATTGAGGTTGTCCCCTCCCTTGGTCTGTGCTGGTTATGGAGCATTTTGCTCTGATTAGAATGAAGAGTAACTCCATTTGCATACATGGCACAGTATCCTAATGGAACATAGCCGAATTCTGTCCTTAGACAATCCTACAGCAATGATGTATTGATATGTTATATCCACGGTCATCTTGAATTCCCTCTTTCTTCCTTTCAACCTGGAGAGGCCCAGGGGGTTCTTATCATATCATATAAATGCCTGAAGGGAGGATGTAAAGGTGACAGAGCCAGGCTCTTTTCAGAGGTGCCCAGAAGCAGAATAAGAGGCAGTGGGCCTCTGAAACAAGGGGGGTTTCTTCCAACCATCAGGAAGCACTTCTGTATTGTGAGAATGGCTGAGCACTGGCACAGCTTGCCCAGAGAGGTGGTGGTTTCTCCTCAGAGGTCTGCAGAAGTCAGCAGACACAGTCCTGGGCAGCCTGCACCAGATGAGCCTGGCTGAGCAGGGACTGGACCAGGTGGACCCAGAGGTCCCTTCCAATCTCAACTGCTTTGTGATTCTGTCATCACAACCACCATTTGTTTCATTAATTCCAGCTGGACTGATCATAGACGATCATTTATCTTATTCCACTGATCCCAGTGAAGTACTTTAAATAAATGGGTTTGTAAACTCTAGGGTGAGCATAAAACAAATCTGTATTACCAAGAATCTATTAATTATAGATGGAATATATGGAACAATTCTGAGAAATCTGATGGGGTTTACAGAGGAATAGTGATTGGTCCTGCTTCAGACAAATTAATTCAAACCATAGGTAATTCACAGACAGTGAACTCACAGGGGTATTAACAATCACTGATAAGGATCTAAACTGCCAAATCAGGCTGCAGCACGACCACAGCTTCACTATCGTGTAGCTTCATTTTCCTGTGTCCTGAAATTGATCTTCTGTAATCCTTAAATTCCTCATTAGGCTGTGAATGCTTGCCTGGGTTTGATTCACAGATTTTATGTTCTTTTTGTCCCTTTCCTTTTTCCTGAGTTTGCACATTTGAAAAAAAAAGAGATAAATAGCGGTGGACTGAAATTAATTTACAGACAGGCACCATGCAACATTTCTTAAACAGAGCTTCTCTATCAGCTATCTACAGTCATTCCAATTATCATTCAGTTTGGATCAGACAAATCCCATTGTGTCCTGGAGCATCCAAACTATTTCTACTCATGATGTAACCTGGAATTAAGCTTTATACCTTGATCCTTACTGACCATTACTGGCTGTTCCTTCCACTGGTACATCCAGTCTTGCTCCCTTGGGCTGTGATAAATCACTCTTAGACTGCTGACCTGTAATTTTTCCAAGGCCGCGTGCAACCTGGTAAATGCAAGTCGCTTCCAGATGATGATATTCTCAAAGTAAGCTGTAACTGAAAGCCTTCCTGATCCCAGCACCTTTCTGGCCAAAACAAATGTTTGGATAGCAAATACAGTAATAGCTTTTGGGAATGAGACACTCTTTCATATGACAGGAAGTCAGATTTTTACTCCTCCATACATAGCTTTGCTTAACTATTTACCTTATTTGTTAGAACAGCCTCTGATTCTCCTGTTAATTTATTTTGTCATTGAAATCTCTGTGAGGTTTTAAACACAAAACTAAACTCAGGAAAACATGGATTTGACATGTGCTTGTCCATTTGTGGCCAGATTGCTGGTAACATCAAGCACTTGACAGCATGTCTCATGTCTGGCAAAGAGCATCACACCACTATTTCTAGGTATCCAACTGATTCTCCTTTCACTTTTGAGGATTTACATGTGCATAGCAGCTGGAGTTCAGTCTGTACAGTTGACTCTTTCTATAAGCATTTTGCACTTCATTTGGCTTAAACAGAGAGTTCAGGCACCTTCAGTAGATTTGGAATCTATGCTAAAATTTATGACCACCCATTGTGCCAGGTTTGCACAGTTCCTCAGTATGGAAAGCCATGATGACTAGGAGGCAGTCAGACCCAAATGGAATAGAAAAGACCTCAGGAAGATTATGGGGACTCAGTGTATGTTTTGGAGTTCAGTCATCTTTTACTTTGTAATGCTCCAACTGGCACTACGTTTCTGATGCACAGAGTAGTGATTCAGACTCCCTTCCTGGCCTGATGCACAGTGTGTTAATGACCTGCCTGCACAGGTCTGAAGAACCACCTAGGTACAGATTCAAAGTAACGTGGTGTGTTTTATGAAGTGTAACTTTAAAATCCTGTCTTCTACCCCAAGGCTCACAAAACCCCTAAAAATTTTTTGGTTATGAGGAGGAGATGTTTCTAACTTCCAGTGTGTTTTGTGCTTGCGTGTGGCTTCAAATGACTTGACTTTCTATATCTCCTGCAGCGATGTAACTGTCCTTATGAAAATGTCATTCCTTTTATGTTTTACTGGGTGAAGTTTAAAGCATCTGATTCCTCATGATCTGAAGTACAGATGCTGTTTAATAATATATATAAAATCGCGAGCTCTTTCTGATTGCTGTGTGAATTAAAAGAAATAATGATAGTGTAACATAACTGTGGACCATATTTTGGGCAGCAAACAAAGGAGAAAGTGAAGCTCCTCATCCAGCTGGCTGACAGCTTTGTAGAAAAGGGACATATACATGCCACTGAAATCAGGAAATGGGTGACCACCGTTGACAAACGCTACCGTGACTTCTCTCTCAGGATGGGGAAATACCGCTACTCCCTGGAGAAAGCCCTTGGAATCAATACAGAGGTACTGTAAGTCCATGTCCTTCTGAGGTTTTGTACCAGATCTGAAAGTCACAGAAGGAAGAGAAGACTATGAAATGAATGTTGCAAGTTATCGTATGCATATTAGAACCACTTAAAATCTAGTCGGCCTCAGGACTGCTCTTTCTGATGAGAAAGAGGTTTTTTGTGACTTATTGGTGGTAGGAGGAGGAGTCAGAAGGAGATCAGAGAGAATTTCTGTACAACTGCTTGCTCTGTTCTCCAGGAGACTATCCAGCTACTGTGAAGGAGGGGGGAACACATTATTTGAATAAAAGTCTGTATTAATTTTAGCATAAACCATAAATATTACTTCCATGCCATTAGACCCAGGCCTTGACTGTAAGTTTCCATTCTCTCATCCTTTAACTGAATAAAAAATTGGTCGCCAACCTCATCTCTAACCTCTGCTAGGTGAAATAGAACAATACAAGGCTAACAAAAATAAGAACCTCATGCTATTTCCTGGCCATAGTAACACTTAAAAACCTGTTGGTCAGTCACCCTCAAAGTAAAGTATCAAAGATGAATAAATTCCCTCACACCCTCAAGATAAATGTACTCTTCCTTGAGCTGAGTTTCTGGTTTACACAGTTACTGACCGCTTCTTACCCCTTCTTATGTGTTTAATCTCACAACCATGATGCATTTTACACAACAGTAGGATTACAATGGACTTAAAGTCTTCTCTGTTACTGCTTCTAGGATAACAAGGACCTTGAACTAGATATTATTCCAGCAAGTCTTTCAGACCGGGAGGTAAAGCTGCGAGATGCAAATCATGAAGTCAATGAAGAAAAAAGAAAGTCAGCCAGAAAGAAAGAGTATGTCCCAAAACTCTCTGAGAGTGCCACGACACATTATTTAAAAGTGATTCTGTGATATCTGCATGACCAGAATGGGATGACAGCCCTGTAACTCCTTCCAGCTGTGGAGCTCTTGAGATATGTGTACAGTTGTAGAGCAAAAGCTGTGACTTGTAGGCAAGAGAATCTCAGAACATACAGTTTGACTTTCTTTTGGTTTTAATCAGAGGTTACTTTTAGAAAGGGAAAGGAATGAGATGAGCACTTTGCTCAGAGCTTGATGTCACTGAGATACTTCATTGTCATGATTTCTTTCTGGCTGTATGTGACAGCTGAAATGAACAGGGTGACTTTCTCATCTCTCTGAAGTAGTCAGTACCGTTTCTCCTTCAGAAGGCAATGGTACACTTGGTCCTTCCATGGCACATTTTCAAAATATTGAGTATTTGAACTTTGGGACACCCAGCTTGAGACACTACAAATGTGGTTGCTGGAGTTCCCATTGGTTTGGATACCAAGTTGTTGTAGCCCTCTCAAATTAGTTTAGTTGTGTCTGCCAACCCTCTCAGTGTTGCTGCTAAAATTCATGTTTCAGGGTGGCTTACGATTGCATATTAGTGAAGTTGCAAGACTTGTTGAGGAATCTCAAGTCTTTTTTTCATGGAAAAAAATTACTGAAAATCAGCTGGCTATTTAAGTTTGGCAAGTAGAGAGTAAATCACTCCTCAGGTTTGCAAAAATACAACTGAATAGAATTTTATGCAGAAAAGTTATTTAAAAAATAAGCCTATAAGAGACTAGAGTATTAATTGATATTTATTTTGTTGAAGTGAATGGTGCAAAGTGAAGCAGCCAAAGGTTTAGAGTGGAAGTCCATTGATTCACAAAGACAACAGGAAGATGCTGTGTTTTCTCTTCATTACATTTCCTGTAATGTCCAGCATGCCTGAAATACTTTCTTTTTCCAGATTCATTATGGCTGAGCTTCTTCAGACAGAAAAAGCTTATGTCAGGGACTTACATGAGTGTTTAGAGGTAAGTTACAGCCTGGAGAGTGCCCAGTACTTTTAGGAAGGGCCTGGTATCCTTTGCATTGTTGGTGTGATGTACCCACCATTAGTGCCTGACCACAGGGCCATGTCCTACTGGCGGTGGGAGCTGAGTGGGAGTTGAGGGGGTCTGCACCCCATGGCAGAATTACACCCTGTGCTCCCCATGTATATCTCTAAAGTCTGCTCCTCTGGGGGCACCTGAGTGTGCCTTTAATTGCAAAGCTGTGCTCATCCTGCAGAGAGTAATAGCAACGTCCTGGAATTCAGTGAAGAGCAGTTAGTGCGTTGACCTGAAATTTGTTGGATTCCAGGCTTTATTCAGTCATGTAGCATTTCCTTAAGAATTTAAATCTCTTACTTTGGATCATCTCAAACTAGAGATTGCCTCAAGCTAGAGGAAGAGCTGGATTTGTACAGTCAAATACCTTACCTAGCTCTTCAACAGGGTAGTTCTGAAGGAGACTGTGATATTCAGGGCAAAAGGCAGTGTTTTTTTTAGTGAAATCTGTCAGCTTTCATATTTCCACAGTTTCAAATAGATTTTTATGTGTCTAATGCTACTGAAGTGGCAAATCCAGGTTATCTTTCAATTGTTTCTGCCTGCAGTTCTTGGACAACATCAGTTGGACAGCAAAGACAGGTGCTATTGACATGTTTTTGCTTTGTCTCAGACAACTTCTCAGCATTAGCACTTTGAATTTCTCTGGAGAGCTTTTTGTGACACTGGAACATCTGTTTTTTTACCTTATTTGTTTAATCTCAAATTGCATAGTTCCCTTGTCAGCCCATGCCTTTGGCAGCAAAACAAGGATATCTATTCTTCTGCACTGCATTTGTTCTCAAAGCTAAGATTTGCTGATGTCTTCCAGACTTACCTTTGGGAAATGACAAGTGGAGTGGAAGAAATACCCGCTGGGATCCTTAATAAAGAACACATCATCTTTGGCAATATCCAGGAGATATATGACTTCCATAACAAGTAAGTTTTTTTAACATTTTTGTTGATGTTTACTGGAAACTAAGGAAACTAAAGGCATGTGTATCCTTATACATCTTTGTGGTGTCCGCTGTGAATGCCTGCAGTAGAATGCACATCCGAATGCAAAGTAATTAATCCAAATATGCAAAATAATGTTTGATGCCTTGTTTTGTTTATTTTTACAAAAATGAATCGCATCTTTGTTTAAACTTTGCCTACAGTTGATTAACAATGTTGAAGTCACATTACACCACTGCTTTGTAGTTCTATAAGTGCTTTTCATCTCACAGCACAGTATTTGTGCTTTGCAGAAGAATAGGACTCTGAGACAGCAGGCCTTCAGCTTTACAGTTGATGAAATGACATCTTCTTCTGGATGCATCTAAGTTTTATCACTTCTGGCGCAGAAGCACATAAGGAGTGATCTTTCTGAAGATGCACTGTCTGGTTCTTGCATATCAGTTTGTCTTCTAAAACACAATGACTTCTACTAAGGATTGTTACATTTTCACTGTAGTTGAGTTGGGCACGGTTGTGCTCAAATAGCAAAGTATGCCTTGGCAGAGACACAGTTTCTCCATTGGCAGCACACTTGATTAGCCCCGTAATCAAGATACAACTACCAATCATTAACACTGATCTCACTGGTCATTTTGCTTCTCTTGGGTATTTGATTGTAACTAATGACATTGGTGTCTTCTTTTTTCAGCATTTTCCTGAAAGAACTCGAGAAATATGAGCAACTGCCTGAGGATGTGGGTCACTGCTTTGTCACCTGGGTAATGAAGCAGCTGCTTTTCTTTATTTATTCAAATTAATTCCTCTGGCACAGACAGAAACGAGCTGAGAATTGGTGCAAAGGTTATTCCTTGGTGACAAGGGCGGTAACAAGAACTGCTTCTTCCTTAGCTCTCCCCTTCCTTAGCTCTTCTCTTGAGCAGTAGTGTGAAGGCTTTCTGGAGACCTGTTCTTCATCCTGCACTGACCAGCCTAGTGTCTAAATCTGCTGATTTAACAACCGGATTAACGGATTTTGTCAAACCAAATGTCTATTTAGGGGTGACATTAGTTCCTTTGCAAAGGGCCCTGAGAGGAAGAAATCATCATCTACTCTCCTTAGGGAATTTTAGTCATGCTTGAGACTTTTACAGAGGCATGAACATTTTCTTCTATCATCATTTTCCTTCAGAAATTAGTGTCAGACTGTTGAGCCACTGTACTCTCATTCCGTTACCCACTGCCAGGAAAATTTCCAACAGGGCTTTGAAATCTTGATGCTAAGAGTCTTCATGGGCACAGGAGGTTACGGTAGTTTATCTGTATGAAAACCATCCTCTTTTCAAGAAGTTTGCCAGGCAAGTCAGCCATCTTCATGTTTTCACTGCTGGTTTTATTTGTGTTATAAAGCTGGGAAATAAAATTTTTGAAGTCATTATAGAACTTTTTCATTTACCAAAAAAATGAGTGGTTTGGTGGCTGGGTGGTTTCAAATGGGCTTTTAATTTCAAAAGATGGCACAAATACTGATGAAATTGATTCAGAAATATTATTTACGATGAAGAAGTTTATATATTTATGAAAGATGGAAAACATTTACATACAGTTCTGTGCAAAATCTTCACTTTTAAGATTGTACCACATCATCTCAGCAACAATACATGTTTAGTGCTGTGTGTGCTTAGAGACATACTCACAATACTGCGTGCCTAATTGCAAGGTCTTTTTATTTAGATACTTGCTATAGAAAATGTTATACTAATCAGAGGAGTCCATCCTCCTCTGCCTGCCCTCCTCTCCCTGTGACCCACACTGAGTAATACAAAGCTGCTCTAAGGCAGAACAACACAGATGCTTTTAATTTCCTCTTAAAAATAAATAAATTAGGAAATGAAATGCAAAGCACTCTTAGCACAACATAAAGTTTGAGCCATTAAAGTCTCAACCCAGGTAGTAAAGGCAAGTTTGAGCCAGCCATCACAGATCTGAGCCTGAAGTCAGAAGTGTTGGCTCCAGCTTGCTTGAGCTGGGTGAGCTCTTGCTCAGGGTTTCCACTCTGGCATTATCTGCAAATAGGTGTTAGAGTCAACACTACATGACTGGGATTTCAGACCTTCTGACGTTCAGATACAATCTGTGCAACCTCATCAGAGCTCTCAGAAATGAGTTTTCATCTGGATTAAAGTTTTAGATTTCCTTCTGTTACAAATGTTTAAAAAAAAGCTTCCCATAACTGTTATATGGTGCACCTCGGAACTGCTCAGGTAAGGTATGAACTTCTGCTAAGTATTAATTCACAATTCTCACGTTGCTTTAGGGTTTTATCACTTATGTTTGTCCTGGAGAGCCTTAATGAGAGACTGTGAGAGCAGAAAAAAACCTTATCTTGCTTTTCCCTTGATGTTTGTTTTCACAGGCAGATAAATTTCAGATGTATGTCACCTACTGCAAAAACAAGCCTGACTCCAGCCAGCTCATCCTGGAACATGCAGGGACTTTCTTTGATGTAAGCAGCTATTGCTGTTTTCCTTCTGCACACATACCACAGCTGAAACACCTTATCTTTACATCTGAGCAACAGATTCCTTTTGGTGCCTTGGCATTTGGGTTTTCCATTCTGCTGCAGATACCACATGCTGTGAAAACTGATGGGCTGCAGTGTGATATGTGATCTTCATCAACGTGGCAAGGCACTTTTAGCAGAAACCAGCATTCTTATGGGAGCCTTCATGCATTTTTCAGACCAAATCAGTTCTAAAGATCTGGTTTAGATATACTCTCTGCTTCCAGGTATAGTGGTAAAATGAAAAGCAAATCCTATTATATTTTATGACCAGAAATACAAAACAAGATCCTGTCCACCAGTTCTACAAATCTTACCCACTCGAGTAACTTTTGCTTCGTTGTGCTGGTAAAGGAGACCACTGCTTGCTAATTGCAAGCAGTCTCCTTTACAAGTTTCCCTTACAAGTGCTACATCTGGTAATAAACATTTGCAGGCTCTAATCCTGGTTTTATAGACCGCTTTCCCTCTGATTTTTGAAGCCTCATTCATTTTGCCTTACTTATCTGTTAGCTTATAGCTTTAGGTAATTGTTTTCCTGGGAAAAAAAAAAAAAAAAGGAAAAAAAAAGAAACACTTCATGTCTTTCTTCTAAAGCACTGAAAATCCTTTTACAAATGTAACCTCTCAGCAGGATCCAACCTGTAATGTTGTTGGCAGCTGACACGAATCAGCTCCTCTGGGTTTAGTCTGTGCCAGTGATCAGAGCGTTTCAATTAAACACACAGAGAGCTCACGTGAGCCAGAAGAGATTTTTCTTTCTTTTTTTTTTTTTTTTTTTTTTTTTTTTTTTCTTATTACCGATTTAAGCAGAATTGAACCGAAATGGATTTTCCAGGAGGTGGCGCTTGAGCCTGTTGAATGGTTTGTAATGGTGGTGGAGAAGTGATGGAGGGGTAAGCATCCTTAGAGGTACGAAGGTGTTTCTTCTGCTAAGATTTTTCACTTTAGCTTGATGTATGGGCTAGAAACCTTCCTGATGTTGCTTAATAGTGAGTATTCATTGGTTAGCATCTGCTGTTTTGCAAGACCTCTTTGCAAGGGGTTATATTTTCCTTTCACTAGTGGGAATTGTGGAGGGCTACTCTGTATGCAGATTATTGCCAAACTCCTCTAGGCTCTCAGACCAAGTGACTAAGGTAGTGACTAATGGCAGATCCTTCTGATCTTCACTTTAGAGTGGCAGTGGTCAAATGGCAGGATCTTTTTTTCCCAAACATGGAATTTCCCAAAACACCCTGATGAAGAGAGAATTAGCTAGAATAATGTCCCTCAGCATGAAGCCTGCTTGAAAATCCCCCCAGATTGCTTAAACCATCATATAAAGGCATGTTTGAGATGAAAATAAGCAGTCCCAGCAGTCTGATTGAACTCTTAAAGTCCATGGAAAAGGTTTGGCTGCAGGACTCATTGCAAAGGTTAGCTTATTAGGGGAAGGAGCAAAGATAAGTGATGTATCTCATTTGAAACTGTGAAGAGAATTAGCAACAGTGCTGTTGGAGCTGGGATGTTTTGAGAACTTGCCTAGTTTATTCTATAGGTTTATTCTAAGATAAAGATGGTTATTTTCCCTCCCTACAGATCTTGCTTTGCTTATAAACTATAAACTTTCCAAACTAAAATTTACCCTCTAGCTGCAGATAAGTCCCATCTTTTCTTGTATCAGGAGGCAGCCTGGCAGAGGGCAGGGAATCCTGGCCTGTTCCGCTTCAGCACAGAATCTGCCCCTACAGGGCATAAGGGATCAGAGCATCCTTTAGATGGCCAAATGTGTGCAATAGCATCTTGTGGGATGTTCCAAGTGGAACCAGCTGCAGGAGGTAGCTGGGCCCTTTGCTGGACTTCACTGGGTATCAGTGTCTCCAGAAGTTAACGATCACATCACAGTGATCAAAACAGACATTTTGGCTGAGATTCAGAAATATTCATTGCTATCAGAGGTATCATAAGGATCTCTCCTGGCCCCAGCTGCCACCTCAGAGCACCACAGGTCTGTCAGCACTGTCAGCCCTGCTGCTCCCATGTGGATATTTCAGCTACCCCAGGGCTTTTGGATGGCACTAGATCCTTATGTTTAGACAGCTAAACTGCACCCAACTTGTGCAATTTAATTTCATGTCTCTTCATTTTAATTGAATGTTAAAACTGCTTTCAGCCCTCATAGCAGATAAGTCATATATAAATTAACGCCTGTGTAGCTTGCTTAGCATAGCATCAGCTGAACTTGCAGAGTGCTCCTGCAGTTTGAATGGCCAAAGGAGACACCACAGCTTGTTGCCTACTTCTCTGAATATTCACGCTGCTCACTGCATGTGAGCTGGAAGAGAGTTAAAAAGCTACACACAGAAACAGAGAGATACAGAGCTGAAGTTATGGGTGGTTCTGTCTCACTGGGGGTTAACAATTTTCCATAACTGATTGTTGTTTTTTATCTCTTCTAGGAAATTCAGCAAAGGCATGGTCTGGCCAACTCTATCTCTTCTTATTTAATCAAGCCTGTCCAGAGGATCACAAAATATCAACTCCTCCTGAAGGTACCTTAGTGAGCTGACCAAATTGGGTCCTGCAGAGCAGCTCTCAGTTGTAATGAGTTAACTTCCAATGCAGTGACAACGCTGTGCCTCACACCAGGTTACTGCTATGACAGGCTTACCACAGCCTTGTGAATATCTCAGCAAGCCTGCAGTGCACAACCAGAGCTCCGGGGATGGCCTATGCATACTCTCAGTCCTCACCCCTCTGGGCTACCCCTCAGAGCCTCCTTCCAGAAGGAGCTTACCCATCCTGGGTGTAGTGCAGCCTGCACTGTGCTAAGGAGCTGCTGGAGGCCTGCTCCCAGCTGGGTAACTGCCCAGAAACCCTCTGAGTGAGCTCCTATTCAAGAGCACCTCACTGTCTTGCTTCTTGGTCATTTCCATTTGATCCCTGTTATTTGCATCCACAGTGGGTGCAGTCCAGCTTTCTTCTGTCACTGCAATGCTGCAGTCTACATACCAAAAACATGGTCTGAGATAAAGCCAGCTTGTTGGTCAGTTTGCTTACAGGTGTTCTGCTTTGCTTCTTAGGAACTGCTTACCTGCTGTGAGGAAGGCAAAGGGGAGCTCAAGGATGGTCTGGAAGTGATGCTCAGTGTCCCCAAGAAAGCTAATGATGCAATGCATGTCAGCATGCTGGAAGGTACAGATGGGTGCCTGGGGCAGAAAAGGGCTTTAGGAGTGAATTAAAACTTCTTGTACCTTGCTTAGAAAGTTAGCACAGATTGACTGTAGCAGTACTGTTGGCTGATCATCATTTTCAGGTAGCTCTTATGTATACATGTAGTATATGTTTATATACTTTTATACATATTTACTTGCTGAAAATTTTCCTACATACTGAAACAAAAATACTCTCTGAAACTGTTTTTATAGCTTTAGTCATGGCTGCAATGATTATTACATTACAATGATTAGAACACTGCACTGGAACAGTCTGCCCAGAGAGGTGGTAGAGTCACCGTTCCTGGACAAGTTCAAGAACTGTGGAGATGTGGCACTGAGGACATGATTTAGTGGACAATATTTCTAGCTGGGGGATAGTTGGAGTAGGTGATCTTAGAGAACTTTTCCAACCTTATTGTTTCTTTGACTTCTAAATACTATTTCAGTATTTCAAAAGAAAAAGTTCTGGTTTTCTGAGTCAAAACATCTCGTGGCTCAAAATGTTGGTGAAATCAGCCCGAAGATTAAAAATAAATATATACAATAATCTATCATAAAGCATTTCAAAATTACAGGGGGGGAAGAGGGGGAAGAGTTGACCAAAAGATAAGCCTTTCACTGACTTTTTGTTATGTGGGGTATTTCTGAAATTTGAACACTTTAATCAAGACAGTAATGGTTTATTGTCTCTAAAGCATTTTCTTGGCAAGAAAAAATCATTTCCTGCCTAGCTGGAGTTAGAAAAAAAACAAAAAAGGGGAAGGTGTTGGTACCTAAGCAGCAGGTGATTACGATTTCTTGGTGTGAATTGATCCAGTGTAGGTCAGAATGCAGTGAGGATGATTTCCCTATGGAGTCTGGTTTTCCAGTATAGCTTTTGAGTAATCTGTCCCCTTGAGATGAATAGCATCATGTGATAGTAGAAAAACAGCCTCTAATAGAATAATTATGTCATGGCAGTGGACAAACAAAAGCAAAAAAATACTTTCACTGGGGCAGGAGGTGCCCATAAATGTCTTTTATGAATATGCATAAAGAAGAGAAAGACCCTTTTACTGCAAGTCTTCCTTGCTCTGATGTTTCTGAGCATTACTGGCACCAAGAACTAATACTGTGTTAGGTGTTAACCAATGTGTTTTGTGTTCCCTATTCAGGGTTTGATGAGAATCTAGATGTCCAGGGAGAGCTGATTCTTCAGGATTCCTTCCAAGTGTGGGATCCCAAGTCACTCATTCGGAAGGGCCGTGAGAGGCATTTGTTTCTCTTTGAAATCTCCTTGGTGTTTAGCAAGGAGATCAAAGACTCTTCAGGACACACAAAATATGTTTACAAGAACAAGTTACTGGTAGGTGTGGCTGAAGAGAAATAATGCGGTTGTTGCATTTCTTGCAGGTAGAGGTACAGTTTGGGGGATGGTGTACGTGTCCCCACACTGAGTGGGGATATTCATGCCACCTGAAAGAGCTGGCCCTGGGACCAATGGGAGGCTAAACCTGCAGTGAGCCTGGAAGGGTTTGGGACAGTGAGATGTGATGGGTGGGTGGAAAACGCAACGAGGATCAGTCAGACCATTCGCTCTTCCTTGCCACCCCCTGATGTTTTTCTGTGTCTTCTATCCTCTGATCCATACTTGCATTCCCTGCTTGTCCCTATAAATGTAAAGTTTTCTCAACTCCTGAGGCTTAACCGGTATGAAATCTCTCATCATCTTTCCTCCACACCAGACCTCAGAACTGGGAGTGACTGAACATGTTGAAGGAGATCCCTGTAAATTTGCCTTGTGGTCTGGACGAACACCATCCTCAGACAATAAAACAGTGCTAAAAGTAAGTCTTTTTGCACTTGTTTTCTTTGCCTTTAGAGCTTCTAGTTGAGGCCTCAGGAGCCCTAAAGTGGAAGGTCAATTTCTCCCCTCCTCATATTCACATTGCTTCCATGTCTGTGGTGGGGTCAAGCCTGCATCAGGAGCAATTTGGTTCCAAGGCCACAGTATGAAACAGGACAGTGCAGTTGTGCAGCCTTGCTGAAATAGCATCTCTTGAACTCCAGGTTGAGCAGCTGCATGCTAATGGAAGGCACATCTCAGGGTGTTGGACTGGGAGGTGTAATTCTCTTAGTCCTATGCTGCTGGGCATATCGGTAGTCAATAGTTCCCGCAACCCTCCAGAGCTGAAAGACATTTCAGTCAAGTGAGTTTCTAATGAAGAATTTATGTTGTAGTTATTTTGTCTGAGGAAATCCCAGCTGTGCACTGATAACCTATTTCCCCTTCACAGAGCATGCTGCATTACTAGCATTAAATATATTTATCCAGAGCTTAGCTGCTTTGCTGTTGCTTGCCAAGTAGGTCTGGTAAAATACCCTCAGTTCTCCTGGGGTTCCTAGGTATTCCAGTAGTTTGAGTAATACAGCAGAGAGGAAAAAGTTAATTATGCATTTTCATCAGCCAATCAGTATTCTTCAGAGGAGGTGATATGGGAATTTGATAAAGTGTCTGTCCTTCTGCCTTGTGGAACTTTAGGCATCGAGTATTGAAACAAAACAGGAATGGATCAAAAATATCCGAGAAGTCATCCAAGAAAGAATTATCCATCTGAAAGGAGCTCTGAAAGAGCCAATTCAGCTCCCCAAGACACCAGCAAAGCAGCGAAACAACAGTAGAAGGTAACCTCAGTCACTGCACACAACATGAAGTCATTAGAGATTTGTCAACCAATAGCAATGTATTGTTTGTGGTTTTTTTGCTGGATTCATTTGCACTTTCTGACCATAGTTAAAAGCAGTTTTGATCATCTTTACTTGTTTTATGTTGTTTTGGCAAAAGTAGCTTTTCCGTGATATCCATACAAAAGTCCTTAGTACTCTAAAGCACTGGAGAGAAATGTGCAGTAAAAACTTCTTCAGAGTCTAAGGTTATGTTTCTTTCCCAAAGTAGAATTTACTTTTTCAGATTTGAGTATTAACAGGTGGTTTTTTTTTTTTTCCTATCTGATATTTTAAACTGTTTAACAACTAAAATCATAGCTCATTGTGACATTCTATTACCAGAGTGGAGTATCTGTGCTTTGTCATGAAATATGAAATTCATTTCAGCCTGGGAGGAAATATTAAATTGTTTTGGTCAATCCCAGATGAAACAGAAATTATGTAAAGGCACTGTTCTTTTGTTGTCAGGCTGGTGTTCCCAAAAGCCATTTGTAATTTGAGCATCTCCCCTTCCTCATCAAATGTAATCATGCAGCCACTTACTGTGGGCTGTATTACTGAGGTTTTCAAAGAGGGAGCAAGCAAGGCCACCAGGAAGATCCTGACCTAGGTTCTACACTGTCATTACTCACGTTTGTTTGGATATCTTCTTTATTAATATTAAATTCCAGAAAAGGTGATTCTTGTGAGACAGGAGAAATGGCCCTGCCTTCTGTGCCACACACGGCTTCTGCTGCATGGTTTTGGTGAAGGCAGAAATCTAATTCAAGAAAAAAATGCTGCTTGACACCCTCATTACAGAGCTATTTCTGAACGCCAGCATTTTCTGTGCTGTAAATATGCAGGGAACCACCAGCCTGTTTCCAGCAACTAAGGTTGTGATTACATGCTAATCCCAACCCTATGGCTGAGGATGACATCATTCTAAATTACGAGTTACACGGCAGCATGGGCTGTATCAGTGAGGTAATTTTAGCACAAAGCCAACTCTGGCACGCTGACTCGGCACTTCTCAAATCCACCTATGAAGTTGTGCACATTGCAAGGTGGTGCGTTAAGCAAGCACAGTCATTTCCCTGTTATTTCTTTTGCAGAGATGGAGTAGATGATGCAGACAGCCAAGGAGATGGAAGCAGTCAACCTGACACCATTTCCATTGCATCCAGGACATCACAGAATACAGTGGACAGTGATAAGGTAGGACTGGAACGTGAAAATATGCTGCAGCTAATTGTCTCCCAAAAGATGTAAGTGAAAAGCAGAATAGAAGTCATAATATAGCAATCTGTTTTTTACTGAGTCAAAATTTGTATCCCCTGAGGCCAGGCTATTAAAATCCAGTCTCTTTCTAGATGCTCATCAGTACTGCTGTTTTACATGGTAACATCTCTGTTACTGCAGTTCTTTGAGGTTGAATTGGCTCTGAAGAAATACAGCCCAGAGCAACCTTTTCTTCTTCCTTAGTAAAACTTGCCTTGTGGGATCCATCTTCTGAATCAGCAAATGGTTATGTTCCATGTTTACCTGCTGAGCTATAATGACTGCTTTGTTGGAGGGAATACAGGTGCTTACACACCAATTAATATGGCAAAATTGGGATCCTGGCTGGTACCTTGAGAGTCAGGGAGACCTACCCTTTCCAGAGACTGTGATTTTGGATCCCATCCTCATGGACATATGGTGGAACATATGGATGGCCCTAAGACACACGGCATTCTGTTGGAATGCTGCATGCTGTTGGCATGTACGTAGTCCCTGTTTCATGTGTCAGATGGTCCAAGTCCAGATCCTCCTGGATTAGAAGGCCTGACTCAAATTTGTCACCTTGATACGTCCAGCTGCAGCCTTCAGCTGAATTAGCAGCTGGTAGTCAGAGTAAATGGGCTATTAGTAAGAGCTTCAAATATGATTATGAGGTTTGTCAAATGTAATGAGAATATCCATATTCTCTTCCTGTGTTGCTTTGAAACTATATTGAATTTGCAACAGGATGAATTCTGCAGAATCATTTTGGATTTGTCTGTTTGCCAGAGCTTTAATTATACTGCCACTTTCACAGGATAGAAGGGTATCTTCTCAAACTCAGAATTCGTGTTCATGGTCAGAAAATTCACAAACACTTTTCTGTGCAGAGGCTATTTTGAAAGCTGAACTCAGAGGAATTAATAGGAGTTAACTGAATTAACTGCAAATAAATTACCTGTTGTGTTTAATTTATTTATCTTAAAAGCATGTTTCCATGTTGTTGCTTCTTTTTGTTCCTTTGTTTTTGACTAGTAATGTGCATTAGAAAAGTATTACTCCAAAGGACACCATAATGCATGCAAATACTTTGTCTGATGCAGAATACTTTCTTATGTCTTTAATCCACATGGACTCACCCTGCTTTTCCATGTTTTTCACATTTATCATTCCTGAAAGAGGCCCTGCCTTAGGAGATTACTTGAGCTTATGCTTAATTTTAGACACAAGATTTGTTGGTTTGCCTCAAGACCATTGGCTCAGTTGCATGAGTTATAGTAGCAGGCCAGGTCTGGGTAAGTCACTCCACTGAGTGCTGTAGCTGCAGACAAGATCTGTACTGCCAACAACAGCAGGGACAATTGGGCTCTACCTTGAAAGGCAGCCCATCATGGCAACAGCTGCTTTCAGAATGCAAGGCTGGAAAGGGTTGTAGGAATTCTCACACAATGATCTTGTCTGAATTGAAAGGCAAAGGCATGTAGGAGGTAAACTGGGAAACAAATCACACAAAAATTTGTTACCTCTGGGGAAAGGCTAAATCAGCAGAAGGGTTGGATCATCTTACTTTATTAAGATGGATCTGTTCACCTGCTGACTTAAGGCTGTTTGTATTCATGTGTCTGTATGTACTTGTACTGAACAGAAGCAAATTCTAGTGTACAGTTGAAGCTTAAATATAAATGTATGTGCTTTGTTGAATCTGAGCAACTAGTGTAGCATCCTCCAACAGAGAGGCAGTTCTTGCTAAAGCCCCTTTCATACTGTCACAGATGCTAGTGCCAGCAAGCTGTGGAGAATTCAGTCTTTAGAGTGCTGCATTGCCAGGCCTTTGCTCCAAGGAAAGCAAACTTTCCACATCACTTGACAGTTCTCCGGGTTTTCTACATAGCGTTACCCCAGTTAACGACAGATGGAGCTGTGTTTGTACTTCCCATGGAAACAGCATGGAGGCATCCTGCCTTCACTCTCAGCACAGATATAGGTTTTTATAACATACACTGTAATTAACCTGTGTGGTTCTGATAATAGCACTGATAGGTAAAGTGTTCAGCAAATAGGAGTTTTCCTATCTCTTGAACTCCAGCTTTGTTAGAAAAGTTATTCCCAGAACTTCTAAATGAGGCTTTGAGTGACTGCCCTGAGTGCCCCTGAGATCTCCATCCAGAGGAGCTAGAAGAAACTTCCTTCCTAGCTTTAACAAGACCCAGCTGTTCAGAGCCTCACTGACAAGCACAAAGAGCCTGGCAGTGCTAGCAGTGTGCCAGGCTGGGAGCAGAGTGATCTTGCACTAGGAACATTGAGGTATTAACTCACAAATTGCATCTGAGAGCACACTGCATTGCTTATTTATCTGTTTGGATTAAGAATTTGGGCAGGCAAGAATTCTTCCAAACATGTTTGTAACAAAATGCCATGCGGGATACAGATGAGAATTCACAGCAGCTTTTTTATATTGAAGGTAATTTACAGCAGGATTTATGGCTGCAGGCTCCTCTTAGAAGTTACTCTTTAAATATTCCATCTTTCCTGGCTACACGAAGTGGTCAGTTAATTATATGAGACAAATTAAAAGAAAATGTCTATGTCTATTCAAAATAATAATTAAATAATTACTCCTTTTTTTTTTTTAATAAAATATCAAAGTACATTCTTAAATCTGGATCTTAGTCCTTAATATCTTTAATTTTCTTGTATTTTTATCTATCTATCTATCTAAATATATGAAGCAGTTATCCCTGAGCTCTAACTTTTTTTCATTAAATACCATCAGATTTGTAGCTCTGCACCATTGTGAAAGGAAAGAAAGAGAGAACACGTAAAATGCTGTGAATTTGTCTGTATGCAATCTGTAACCTAAAATATCGCATGGCTTGAAAAACAATTAGTTGGATTTTCCTTTGGGAAAGTATTATAAAGAGGGAAATCACTGGTTCATGAACGTGACTTGGTGTTAAAGAATCAGCAGATAACAAATACTATTAGAGTAAGTGTAATTTCCACTGAGCAGCCATGTCAGCTTCTAGGCAACCTCCTATGCAAAACTTCATCTTCTTCCAAAAGGTAGACCAGACAGCTTTTGTTCTGTACAGCAAGCCCTCTTCAATGTGCTATCTAAAAACTATTCCTTCAGGAGAAATCCTCACCCTATTCAGCTCAGCAGACAGGATTTCAATCTTTGTATTTGGGTTCAAAGCAGTGGGGAATTGCATAAAGAAAATGTTAGCATGCAGGGCATCCTCATTTGTTAAGCCCATTGATCTATTGGCTGTAAAACAGCTGGTCCTGGCGATACTGATCCATCTTCTAATAGCTCCTTTTTTGTCAGCCTTTGTAGTACGCTGAGGAGAGCTGCTCGTTTCTCCCTGTTGTTTTTGGATATAGAAAAAAGCACTGAAATGTGAACTGAAAAGTTTTTACTCTCTAAAAATAAACATACATGATCTACTTTTATCTCTTCCATTAAATACTGGACTCGGTTCATCTTTCAGAAGTCATGAGGCTGAGATCTTGACCTCTTCTGCATTGGTGGTATTACATAAAAACTGAGAATAAAGGTTTTTCTGATCAGAGGTAATTAGTATGAAGGAAGCTTTTTGAATTAAGACTTTTAGAACAAATCATTTACAAGTGGATTCTCTTTTCTCTAAAGGCTTCAAATCAGGGCAAAACAGCCTTCTCCCTTTGCTATCACTGCTTAAGCAGAAATTAGGATCTGATGCAGATAGTACTACTTCACATTGTTACAAAGGAAGCTAAGGCACCAAGTATCCAGGCTCTCTTCTGTCCTTAAAAATCTATCATTTCTAAGAGTCACAATGCATGCTATTAGAGGTATTCATTCTCAGTACCTTGGAAGTTTCCTTTCTAAGTCATACAGTTATGAGGAGCAACTTGATCCCCTATACTCTCCTTTGATGCTACTGATCCCTTTGAGCTTGTGTTCTGATGAGCTGTACACCAACGTAGAGTCATAGAGTCATACAAGCATTACAGGTTTTGTAGTCCAACAGCCAGCCCATAACCTGTGCTGTCCGAAATAGGTAATAGTTCCAGGAAACACACCTTGTGTTAATGTGTGCTGACTTGAAAATAAATAAGAAGATAGCAAACAGAAATGCTCTCTCATTCAGTATGGAAGGAAACCTCTTCTCTTCTGTCCCTCAAAAGGAGAATATAGGGGAAATCACTAAGCTTATTAGTTACCACTTCAGCATTTGCAATAAGAAGTGATCAATCGTTGCTTCCTAGCATAAATTAATTCAGGAATTAAGTTGTAAGAGTGCCTAAATCTGAAGTGGAAAAACTCAAGATGCCTTTCTAACCAGGCATCTTGCAAAGAAGTGAGTAGGAAGTTTGTAAATTCTTTCTTCTCTTATTTAATCTCAAATAAATGAAAACATTTGCCATAAAATAGTGAAATAGTAATACTCCTTTAAAAAAAAAATCCCACTGAAGTCTTAAAATGAGAACACCAACATAAGAAAAACACATCTAAAAAAATATATATATGCCAATATAAAACATTATTTTGTCAAATAAAGAAAATCCAAACATAGAACAGAAATGAGAGAGATTCACATTTTTGGAGGAGGAATTAAAGAAGTGGAGAAATTAAAACAATACCATAAGGCAAATGCAGACATTAATTAATTCTGCTAACAAGAGCACTCTTACTGAGCTGACAATTTAATTTCTACTTAGTTTCTCAGCAAGGGAACTGGCATAACAAGCAGACTAAAAAAAAAACCATCTTGGAATTGAGTTATAGCAGGTTCCTGGGCAAGAGATGCTTTCCTGCTGCAGCAAAGGGGCTACACCAAGGGGTAAGAATCACTCAGCACTGCTTGGATCAATGGAAGTATCACTGCACACTGAAGCCTTTACAGAACTTGAGCAGTGGGGCTGAATACAAATAGCCCCTCAGTGGCACATTTCACTGTCAGTGTGGTTAA